CTCTCTTGAGGAGAAGGCACCTAACTTTGTTTGGGAAGGCTGGGGAGGAGTCAAAGAGAAAAACACAGCTGAGTCTGGAAGGATTAGCAAAACTTTCTAGGCAGAGAAGGGGTGAGAGGGCAATTCAGGCAAAGGAAACACCACGTGAAGGCAGAGGCAGTAACGGAGCCCCAAGTTGGCAGAACAATGAGCAGAGGGGCACAGTTTGAATCTCCATGTGTTGAATGTTTGGGCTTTGAATGCACAGGGAGGAACAGGAGATAAGGCTGCAGGGCAGAGTCAGGCACTGAAGGTCCTCCCACAGAGCGCTGCCAAGAAGTTTTGCCTTCATCTGTAGACAGTGGGGAGCCACTGGATTGTTGTAGGCGAGGGAGTTACAGTCTGATTTCTCTTTCAGGAAAATCACATTGGCAACAAGGAGGAAGACAGATTGGGAGGGAATGATGCAAATTTGGAAGTGAAAAAGGTCTAAATAAGGGTGGGGGTGGAGAGAAGATAATGTCTTCCCTTTAAACCTATTACATTAGGAGTAGCCAAAGACTAGTCAGATTCAAGTGTCCAGTAGGAAGATGGAAATATGAGTCTGACGCTCAGAAGAAAGATCTGGATTTAGAAGCATTAGTCAGTAAGCAGCGACCGAAGCCATGGGAGAGAATGACATTCCTTTGGGAGAACATGTAGGGTGAGGAGGAAAGGGGCCAAAGGCTAAATTCCAGGAAATATCAATATTTGAAGTGAGGAGGAGGAAAGATAGTGAGAGGATGGCTGGGTTGCAAGGAGCTGAGGAGTTAAGGATGGTGGTGAGGAATCTGCTCTTCTAAGAAGGTTGGATGATAAAGAAAGAGAGAGAGGGCTGAAGCAAGAAGAGGCTGGAGGGTGTATTTTGTTTTATGTCTACTAGACGAAGATGAAGGATGGAGGTAGGAGAGGACAGGATCTAATGCACACCTGGAGAGATTAGTCCTAGGCAAGGGAGTGGTGGGCATTTACTCTGCCAACAAAGGGGAAAGGGACTCAGAAAGAGTTTGATTCAGTGGTTTTCACATTAGAATCACTGAGGTAACTTGGAAAAAAAAAAAGCCAATATCTGGGCCACACCTTGGAAGTTTCTGGTTTAATTAGTCTGGAATGGGTCATGGTCTGCAGACAATGTTGAGAACCACTGGTTTAATTGTAGGTAACTTTTTAGATGGTGGTAATGGGATGGGCTTTCAGGAAGCTCACTCTTGATAAAGGTTGGATGAATAGGGAATGGTAAAAGTTTGGGACAGGTGAGGAATGGGGAAAGAGGAGCAATTTATTATATTTTATTTTTTTTGGTGAGGAAGATTGGCCCCGAGCTAACATCTGTTGCCAACCTTCCTTTTTTTTTTGCTTGAGGAATATTGTTGCTGAGCTAACATCTGTGCCAATCTACCTCTATATTGTATGAAGGTCACCACCTCAGCACAGCTTGATGAGCAGTGTGAAGATCCGTGCCCAGGATCTGAACCTGCAAACCCTGGGCTGCCAAAGCAGAGCACACAAACCTAACCGCTATGCCACCAGGTGGCCCCAAGGGAAGGAATTTAGAATGGAAGGAAACTAATACCAACTTAGTGGCGTTTATGTGCCATTAATGTAGAAATAAATGAGGCTCATTCTTTGTTCTCAAAGAGCTCAGGAACTTATGGGAGAGAGAGACACACCTTAAAACAACCCTATGTCACTGCAGAGTTCTTAACCAGTTAAGGGTTTTTTTTTTTTTTTTTGCATTTATTTTCTTTTTCACTAAAAGTGACAAAGAATCCAGTTATTTTACAGTATAGCCTGGGTCTGGAAATACTTCTGTAAGCACTGAGTGTAGCCTTTCTAGGAAAATGGGTGCTGGGGAAAGAGCTCTAATATCCTGGGAGGTTGAACTTTCCCGTTTTATCAGCAGGGCTGCAAGACGATGGGGTTCTGGCCTGAGATGTGGGTACATCACTGGCGTCAGCTGTACCCGGGAGGTGGCTTTTATTGCTAACCACTCACACTGAAAAACTTTGATGGCCGTCCTGCTAGGGTGTGAAGCTTCTGTGTTTGAGCAAGATACTAAGGACTCCCCTCTCTCAGCAGCAGTGCTGTAAAAGGGCCCTACTTTTCATCAGAGTAGAAGACCTCATGTTTGCCACCGTGGTCTGGGCTTGACCTCTGGGAACAGCTTCAGCTGCATGGGAAGAAGGCACTTCTCTGTAGCTGAGACCTTCCTTTGGAGAGAGTTCACTGCCACTTCTAGAGACCTTTGTATCTTCCCCAGGAGACTCCGCCTCCTAGGGTTCCGAGAGGCCTTTGGTTTGCCTGTCCCATCCCTGCTGCCTCAGGCCCACGAGCTGGGGGAGTTGGAAGAGCTTTTACTGAGGGTCCTGGCTTTTGGCTGGGAGCCCCCTTCCTTGAGTAAGATTCCTAAAAGGAGAAGTTTGATTGGGAATGGACTGGGCACTGTGGGCACGTGGAGGGGATTCCTTCTCCTACCTTATTAGTTCCATTTTATACACAGGAATTGAGGCTTAAGGAAATTAAGAAACTTGCCCGTGTCCTCAAAGCTAGGAGCTGTGCATTCGCAGTTCAACCTTTTCTACTCTGTTGTCCTTCAGGCTCCTGACCCCCTCTATCACTGCAGTTGGACCCTTTGGGAAAATCCTGGTTGGATGTCACCTTCCTGCCCTCCTCTCTCCTAAATAGTCAGGCTGGGTCCCTTGGGCCCTAAGGCACATGGGTCTCCTCTTTGAGTCTCCATTTCTTCACCCTGTGAATTAAGGATGTGTGAAATCCAGATGGGTTTCCATCCTGGTGATGAGGGTGGAGGGCAGTCCAGGGATTTGCTGCGTGGGACACGTTAAGTCAGATTTTAATGTTGGACCTCTCCTCTGCAATCCAGTGCTTTTGTTACAGAGATAGGACTGAAAGCCCCCAACTTCACCTTCAGAGAGGAGAAAGGAGGGACAGAGCTTATTCCAATCTGATGCCTGGTGTCTTCATTTGTTGACATCCTGACTCAGGCTTTGAGCTTTAGGTGGAGCCAGTCTACAGAATTATCTGTAATTCTGGCGTCAGAAGCCATGCTTCCTATTCTTTGGGCCCTTTTGAGGTCTGTGAGACAGGCTAGCATCACGCGAACACAGTTTACAGTGAACTGCTCGATAGTCAGTCGGGGCCCAGGCAGCTAGGGCAGCCCTGATATTGTGTCAAATTACACACTTGCTGCCCAGCCCTGGGGATGTGCTCTGGGCAGGGCTGGGAACATCCTAACCTTGTCCTACCTCCCTTTACCCTTCCCCCACTCTCCTGCCACTTGTCCCTCATACCCCTGGTTGCCATGGTCACTGGGGGACCCCCCCCCCCCCCCCCCCCCCCCCCCCCCCCAGTGCAGCCCAGTGCCTCACACATGACAGGCACCAAGCAAATGAGCCCCTGGATGCACCCAGGTACTCGGCTACCTGAAATGATGATGCTGCATATTTCACGCAGTCTGAGTCACTTGCTCACCCACAGTGTGGGAAGGGGGAACGAGGAGAGGCAAAGATTTGGGCGAAGGAGAAGGGAAGTGTTTCTAAAGATTCTCATTCTTTGAACCATCACAATGCAGATGAAGATGGCTCTGTCCCCATCTTTGGTCAAGTTAGAATGGACGACCAAAAGGGATGAGATTAAGTCTCAGAAAAAAAATTTCATCAGGGAGGAGCAAAAATCCCCAAACAAGTGAGGAATAGAGGCTGAGAGTCTGTTTTCTTGCGACTTAATCGCAGGGTTGGGTGGGAAGGTATCAGGATTGGAAGCTGGAGGATGTCGAGATGTTGAGAGGGCCTTGCCCGCTGGGGGAGAAGTGTGTGAAGGTGCTTTTGAAGTACGGATTACTATTCTAGGTAAGTGCCAGGTTGCACAGCAATAATACTAATGATAATATAACAATACTTTGCTTTCACTCATTCCAAGGGGAACATGGACTTCCCACAGCCCAGACTTCTATGGTGGGGGTCACTCTTGGTAGCTTCAGTCTATTGCCGTACTTCATGAAGCCCAGCTGGTTTTCTGGAATGCTCTAAGGCAGAAATGCTCCAATTATGGCGGATATTTTGTGATACCCCATAATCCTGGTGTAGTACGCTCAACTCCGAGGTATCTGAAACCCCTGGGCCGAGAGCCTTGACTGCTTGGGGTTAGGGACGCGACAGGCGAACGCATTTTTACTCTTGGAGGTTTCCTGGGAGAAGGGCCCCACTCCTCGGTCATTCAAACTCCCCGGCGCCCTCGGCGTCTCCCCCTCCCCCGCTCCCCCAGGGCAGGGTTCCCTTTGTAATTAATCTAAACGCTCAAACCAGAGGGGAGGAAAAAAGTGTTAATGAGGGAGCTTCTCAGACTGACTGGGCGGTCGCCGCTCGCAGCTAGAGCACCGAGTAATTAAATTATTTTTGGAAGCAGGGGGATATGGTGGTGTTGGTGTCAAGGAAATCCCCGTATGCATGGGAAGAGGGGAGCATCTCTCGCCACTAATTAAAATCAGGGACGACTCTCCCTTCTCGCAGCCCTAGGGGGAAAGAATCAATTTTTCCACGTCCCAGATTCCACTGGATTTCGTATAGCCGGGTATGTGGCCCTAAAGATTGAATACGGCCATCCCCAGGGGTCTGGGGCCTCGGTCTCCGACAGGGGGGCTCGAGAAAAACAGTCCCCGGAGGGGCTGCAGGCTGGGCCAAGGCCAGAAATCGAGGCATCCCTTAGCCACCTTTCGGGGCCGGGGTCGCAGCCCAGCCGGCGATTCCCAGGATCGGGGAGGGCCGCCGGGTGTCGGGAGTCCAAAGGCTGGGGGAGCGGCGACTCTGGGAAGAGCGGGGCCGCAGACAATGGACGCGGCGGCGGGAGGGGCAGCCAGTGCGGGAACAGCCGGGAGGCGGCACCCGGGAGCGCGCGCTCCCCCGCCCCCTGCACCCCCTCCGCTCTCGTCCCCTCCCCCTCCACCCCCTCCCCCCTCCGCCGCCGGCTCCCGATCTGATTCCTGATCCCTGATTCCTTGATCCTTGGTCCCGCCATGGGAGCCTAAGCGCCCCCCATTCCCCCCGGCCCCCTGCCCCCGGGGCCTTGAGGGGGAAGAGGCAGCGGTCTGGGACGGAGAGGGGGTGACCAGACTCAGGAGCCCCCCTCAACACCCCCCCATCGTCCGCGCTGCCCGTCCGGGAGCGCGGAGTTCGGAGCGACCCGGAGCGCTGCGGATACAAAGGCGCCGGGCCGAGTCGGGCGCCTGCCGAGCCCACCGGGCAGTTCGCAGCGGCGGGTGAGTGTCGGGCCGAGGGGGCGCGGGCAAAGTTTGCAAAAAAAAAAAAAGAAAGAAAAAAAGAAACAGAAAAGGAGGACAATCATGCAAGGGGCCAGGGGGTGCCCGGCCCCGGAGCGAGCGGAGTGGCTTATGGGGGAAGGGGCTCGGGGCCACCCCTTTCCGGTCCGTTCCCCCACTGCACAGCCGAGTGCCCCCTCCAACTTTGGGGAGGGGAAGGGGTGCGTGGGGAGGGGGCGGAGCCCGGGCCTGGAGAGCCGGGGACTTTCCTGGGCCCCGGGCCGGGCAGGGGCCTTAATGATCCCGGGGGAGCCGGTTGAATCCGGAGACTGGGAGTATGTGTTGGAGGTGGGGGGAGAGGCAGTGGTAGGATCAGAGTGTGGAGGTTTTGGAGGACGAGGGTGTTTAGGGGTGCATACACACCTCAGGAGTGTGGGGAGGGACGGTGCAGGTATGCGTTCAGGGTGTGATGTGGAGTCTGGGGAGCTGGCCGAGGAGAGTAGAGGGGGTGTGTGTGCAGCTCTCGAGGATGGAGCTGGCGGCCGGAGACTCAAGCGCTGTGTATGGGGCCCAGGGGACAGGCGCCGACATCCCTCTCCCCACTCATATTTACCCATTTGGGGGGCTGTGGGCTCCGCATTGGTGAGTTTTAAAGGATTGGTGGAGGATCAGTGTGTGCATGATTCTTTGTTTTTGTGTGTGTGTGTCTTGACGTGCTGCGTGTTTCTGCAGGTGGGCCCTGGGTTTGGAGGTGTAGGTGTTTTTCTGTGCCTGAGTGTATGTCCACCCAGGGAGCAGCTGACCATGTATCTGCTGTGTGTTTGGATATGTATTTATGCGTATACTCTAGGGAGGGGGGGTGTGTCTATGCGTGTGAACTGGGGAGGGTTTATGGGAAAGAGGTGTATAGGTACTGAGGAAGGTGAGTGTGTAAGAGCAGAATGGGGGCATACCTGGATAGGTGTGTGTGCACCTGTGTACTGGGAGGAGGTGTGAGTGAATCTGTGTTCTCTTGTGTGTAACCTGTGTTGATGGATAAGTACCAGTCTGTGTGCCTGCCTCAGGTGGAGTGTTGTTTTTGAGTGTGTGTTGAGGGTACTGCCTCTTGCCCCTGCAGGCAGATTTTCCTGGCAGAGATCCCAAAGGGAGGGCTGTCTGGAGGATTCTGAGGCTTCTTGGATGGCCCTGCCTGGGTTTGAGGGTAGTGCCTTAAGTATCTGAGACCTATGGGTGGGAGTGAGTGGGCCATCTCATGAGGTGTCTGTTTGGAGAGGTGGGTTTTTGTAGAAAAGGGTGTGTGTTGTGGGAAATAGGCAACAGGGGTTCTGGTTGTAGTCCTAGAGGAATCTGGGAGCTTGGAGGAGTCAGGGAGAAGCAGAAGAGGGACTTCTTCCTTCCCCAGCATAAGTTGGATTCTAGTAGGTGAAGAGGCTACATTCTTGGCCTCCTGACCCAAGTTCAGCCCCCTCAGGCCACAGTTCTCTTGGAAAGATGTCTTGGAGTTTGCTGCTTCAGAGCCCACTAACTCTCATCCTGGATGGATGAGACCCGGTGTGGAACAACTTGACTTCCCTGTCCGTGGGGTTGAGAAGGTGGCATGGGAGCTCTGTGGAGGGTGTTTCTCCAGGAGTTTCTGGAAGTATATCTGTGTGATTTATCACGGAGTTTCCCTTTTCCCTGGTGAGAAGCCTGTTTGGGATGGAGCTGTGGTCTCTGAGCCAGATCTGAGGGTGAGGATTAGGGGCTGAGCTTGCCAGAGGGCACAGGTCCATGTGCTGGGGAAGGGGCAGGCACCCATCGCAGCTATTCTCATGATCACGATAATGCGGAAGTGGATCTCTCTCCCCAGGGAAGCAGCAGCTACCTCCTTTCCCTCTCCTCTCTCTTGTTCTTTCCCTTTTGGGTGAAGAAAAGGTACTGGCCATCCCCTTCTTTAGGATGCACGCACTGTTTGCCCATTTCACTCTCTCAGCCATTTTCCTCTTGCTGGCAGGGTTTGGATGGAGACACCCCGTTTTTGGAGCTGAGGCTGTGATTGCACATGCCCATTAGGGTCTCTGAGTAATTGGAATTGGAATGTTAGAGTCTCTGATGGGCATGTGCAATTAGAATGTTCCCTCTTTAGACCTCAGGACTCCCCACCTTTCCTAAGGCCCTCGGGAAAACAGTAGTGGGAGTTAGGAAATGTTGGGACAAGGGATTGGGGCTGAGTAAAGAATGGGCTTAAAGAAAAAAGCATGATTCCCTACAACCTGACATCTGTCTGATGGGTCGGGTTGCTAGGGTGAGCGAGGCACTTGCCTCTAGGACATTGTGCTCTGGCTTCTGGGGTACCTTGCTTGCTCTGTGTACTCTCTCTACATGCATGACATGCTGGTGGGGGTGCTCTTCCAAGGAGGAGGAGCTGTGGTCAGACAATAGGAAGTGCCATCTCTGAAAGTACTTCCAGACTGGAACTAGTGGCCACATTGGCCCCTCCTCCCCCATTGTCCTGCTCCTGCCTTCTCTTTCCTCTGATTCCCCCAGGCACACCTCTCTGGTGTGCCCCCCTGCTCCTTCGAGGTCTGAGGAAGGGCCCTTTACCCTGGCCCTAGAGCAGGATAGATTTTTATCTGCTCATCTGGTTTCCAAGAGGTCCTTCCAGTTACAGGGGGTGTGAACTTGGCCAGCAGAAGCTTTGGGGGGAAGAGATCCAGGACTGCCCTCAGCCCCTCTGTTTTGGGGATCCAGTCTTCTTTGCTTATTCCTCCCTCAGCAGCTCCCCACACTGTGAGGCCCAAAGGGAAGAGTCCGTCAGAGTTGGTTGGAACTAGTACTTAATTGTGGTGTGATGTTGGGCAGGTTCTTAAACTCCATTCCTCAGCCTCTTAGATATCTTCAGACACCGTCCTCCAACCCCAGCCTGGGCCTTCCTCAAGGAGCCCCAAGTCCTCTCAGCAGCCTTGCTCCCTGGGTTTCAGTTTGCTCTTAAATTCTGGTTTTGCCCCTTCCTAGTTCTGTGACCTCAGAGAACATACATAACTTTTTGAAGCCTCACCTGTAAAATGGAGTTAATAATAGGCTCTCCCTCCTCAGTTTATGAGGATTAAATGAAATAATATCCAGAGAGCACTTCACACGGTTCTGGGCACATGAGAGCCGTCAGTAAATGGTAGCTGGTGTGCTTCTGGTTGTGATCGGTGATTGTTACGGGAGAGAGTTCTGGGTTGGGGAGAAGAGCTAGGCTTTGGTTCTGCTCCTCTTCTGGCACACTATGCTGGGCACTGCCTACTGTTTGCCAGGCCCTGTGTGAAGCACGGGGGATTGAGGGTGAATAAGATGGGCTTTCACAGGGGAGATGGGTATAGACACATCGATTCGCTGTAGCCCGGTGTGTGCCCTATGGAAGTGTGTTCAGGAGGCCACTGGAGCATGGAACGGGAGTGCTCGGCCCTGGGGTGGGTGTCAGGGAAGGTACCTGGAGAAGTGCCCTTGGCTGGATTTCTTTTTTTTAATTGAAATGAAATTCACATAGCATAAATTAACCATTTTAAAGCGAACAGTGGCATTTGGTACATTTGCAGTGCTGTGCAGCCACGACCTCTATCTAAAAACATTTTGACCACCCCGAAAGGAAACCTGTACCCATTAAGCAGTTGCTCCCCATTCGCCACCCCCCAGCCCCTGGCAATCACCCTTCTGTGTTCTGTCTCTATGGATTTACCTATTCTGGATATTTCATATAAATGGGATTATGCAATGTGTGACCTTTCGTGTCTGGCTTCCTTCACTTAGCATAACGTTTTCAAGGTTCATCCAAGTTGTAGTGTTTATCAGAACTTCATTGCTGTTCGCGGCTGAATCATATTCCGCTGTGTGGATCAACCTTAGCTGGATTTAAAGGATGAGTTAGGCAGACTGGAAAGGGATGGAGGCGGGCTCCGCAGGTAGAAGCTGAGCCTGAGAGAGAAGGATCAGGGGATATTGGTGAACCCCTGCAGCTTAGTATTATTGGATCTTGAAATAGAAAGTGGGGATTTGGCCTCAGTTTCTCTGTCCTGTGCGGCTGGTGAGGATGGAGGTATTAGGGAGAGGAGAGCCTGGGGTGTTATTGCCCCTTCACAGGCTCTGGGTCGGGGATAGGACTTCTTATAAACTTGCTCTTTCCTCCTCTTCCCTGGGCAGCTCCCTCCTGTATGCATTTTTCTCCTCCCTGTGGGTACCCATCTTCCTGTTTTACTGGGCGTCAACTTCCCCTGTCTCTGAATTGACCTGAAATTTCCCCTCTCACCCTCTCCTGGTGGGTAGCCTTGTTCCTGGGGAGATTTTGGTAGCAGAGGTGAAGGAAGGGCCCGAGAGTAAATCCTGCTCACGCTTGTCCCCCAGCAGTCCTCCCTTCCCTATCCTGCCTCTTGGTGGTCTGATGTGGGCAGCCCTCTGTCACCCTCTCTTGTGTTCTGGAGAGAAATGAGGTGGGTCAGGGAGACTCTTTCCATCCCTTTCCTCCGCCCTGCTTGGTACAGAGTAGGAGCCCTTGTATGGTGGAGCCCTTTGGAAATGAGGTGTTGCTATGCTTGTCTGATGCCCTTGGCGAGGCTGGTAATTACAGAGATGACAGCTGGGAACGGGTTTGGGAGAAGCGGGCTTGGAATCAGCAGAGCTGAGGATATCCTGGTAATCAGGGTGGGGCAGTGAGAGGGGAGAGTGGGAGGAAGCTGGGGGCTGGGGTGGGGTGGGAGGCTTGGGGCCCCCTTCCCCTGCCATTTCACACACAGCTGGGTCTAGCACCTAAGGGAGAGTGGGAGGTGAATGGAGCCCAGGCCTTGCCCCACTGTAATATGGAAGGAGGGAGGGGAAGAGAGAGGCAGGGGACCCAGGAGCCCCTGAGGAGAGAAGCAGAGAGTGGGAAGAGCCTGCTCTCTCAGCCAGTGCTGGGGTGTGGTTTAAGATAGAGAGGGGCATCATTTGGGGGCTGGCGCCAACACCATAGCCAAAGGTGATTCCATCTTACTCTGGGTGGA